ATTAGCCAATCAGCAGCAGCCAGCCAGCACTGTGTAATGGTGGAGCTACAAGTAGCGGCCATCTTAGAATTCTCCATTAGCCTCCGGTCATTCAAGAGAGACAGACCTGTCTGTATTAGGGACAGAGTTAGGGCCACAGAGACTTTAGGGCCACAGGAATCGATACTCAGGGACACAGAATCGTTACTCAGGGACACAGAATCGTTACTCAGGACACAGAGAATCGTTACTCAGGGACACAGAAATTTGTTACTCAGGGACATAGAATCGTTACTCAGGGACAGACACAGAATAATTACTCAGGGACACAGAATTGTTACTCAGGGACACAGAATCGTTACTCCGGGACACAGAATCAGGGACACAGAATCGTTACTCAGGGACACAGAATTGTTTACTCAGGGACAACAGAATTGTTACTCAGGGACACAGAAACGTTACTGAGGGACACAGAATCGTTACTGAGGGACACAGAATTGTTACTCAGGGACATCGTTACAAAATTCGTTACTCAGGGACACAGAATCGTTACTCAGGGACACAGAATCGTTACTCAGGGACACAGAATTGTTACTCAGGAGGACACAGAATTGTTACTGAGGGACACAGAATCGTTACTCAGGGACACAGACACATTTGTTACTGAGGGACACAGAATCGTTAATCAGCGGACACAGAATTCGTTACTCAGGGACACAGAAATTGTTACTCAAGGGACACAGAATCGTTACTCAGGGACACAGAATCTTTGTTAACTGAGGGACACAGAATCGTTACTGAGGGACACAGAATCGTTACTCAGGGACACAGAATCGTTACTCAGGGACACAGAATTGTTACTCAGGGGGACACAGAATCGTTACTGAGGGACACAAATCGTTACTCAGGGACACAGAATCGTTATCTCAGGGACACAGAATCGTTACACAGGGACACAGAATTGTTACTCAGGGACACAGAATTGTTACTGAGGGACACAGAAATCGTTACTCGGGGACACAGAATTGTTTACTCGAGGGACACAGAATCGTTACTCAGGGGACACAGAATACGTTACTCGGGGGGACACAGAATTGTCTTACTCGGGGACACGAGAATTCGTTACTCGGGGACACAGAATCGTTACTCGGGGACACAGAATTGTTACTCCAGGACACACAGAATCGTTACTCATGGACACCAGAATTGTTACTCAGGGAGTGCACGGAATCGTTACTTTCTGCTTCACAACCACTTATTGAATTAAAGAGTATGTCAGACAGAACACGCAGAGAGTGGCAGAGGAGGCAATGTTTTCAGGAGCGAGCAGGACGTGGGCAGCAAGAGGAAGGGGTCGAGGCAGCACTAGTCGCAGCCAGAAGGCCAGTGCATCCCGGTTGACTCGACAACCTGCGCGTCTTCCTCTTCCCAGGTCACCTCTGACACTACAGCCAACGGTCGGTGGGTACGTCAGACACATACTCAGGACTCGTTAGATTGGCAGAATGGGCCCGGACCAGACAAGAATAATTACTCCACTGAAACTCCAGGGTGTCTATAGACTCTACACTGCCCTCTGTCTTTTGGTGTTACTCCTCAGAAATGTTCACCAGGGAGCGGAAGTTATCGCATGTTACTGAGGGCTCAGCCCAGGTGACACTGTACAGTGAGGAAGAGCTCAGGGAACAGAGGGCGGGTCAGGAAACAGGGGGAGACATACTCAGGGACACGCCTCTTCAGACACAGAAGCCAGGCGAAGAATTGTAAGTACTGGTTACGAGGAGAGTGGCTCGGTACTCCGGGACACAGAATTGTCTAGGGAACACAGAATCGTTACTGACCAGGTCTGTCTCCTGACCCACTGAACGCAGACCGAGGGGACACTAGTAGTGAGGCGGAGACCCACAGAATTGATGATGAATGAGGTAACACAGAATGATCGCACTTGGCAGGGAGCAGAATCGTCGTCACAAGAATTGTTACTCAGGCTATTGCTTCCCGCAATCATCAGGAGACAAACGCAGGGTGCCAGCTTGGCAGCGAGCAGAAAACAGTCGGTGGGTTGCCCCAGCGGAGGCAGCCAAGGGTCCGCAGCAGTGTCAGTGGGTACGGCAAACGGCCACGGAGTTAGAGCAACCAGCTCCACTGCAGCCTAACCACCACGGCCAGTAGTGAGCTCAGCCCCCACTGTACAGTGAGGAAGTGCACGGAGGAAGACATCCGCCTCTTCAGCAGCCAGTGAGGAGGTAGCTCGGTAGGCCGGCAAAGTTCTCCTACTCGGCGGTGTATGAATGTGCTGATCGCACTTTTTCGTCAAGACGATTTTGTGTCTCCGCATCAACGAGGAAGTAAACGTACCGTATGTCGACTACCACCACCGGCCAGTAGTGGGCCAGGAAGTAGTCAGGAGCGTGGGTTTTCCTACTCGGCAGGGGCCTCCCATGTTGGGACTACAAAAGCGTTGCCGTCAGCGTTGCGTCACATATGCAGCGTCGCCATTCGGTAGTGGCCTTGGGAAAACCGTGATAAAGATACGGCGGTTCTGCCTGCCCCAGCCCCCTCTCCATCACCCGCTCCGTTACCTTGCTCCAGTCACCCGTCGTCAATCGCCCTCTATCAGCCAGTCAAGGCTCCAACACCTCTGCTGAGGGGAGTTGTCGCTCGTTTGGCATCTTCCGCTCGTTCAGATGCTCCTTCTCCTGCTACTCCTCTTCACGGATCCGTCAGCAGTCTTTCTTGGAATCCGTTTCCAAGAGACAACAGTTTGCGAGCACGCACCCGACGGTGCAGAAGCTGAACAGTCCTCCTGTCCAAGTTGCTAGTGCTTGCAGTCCCCTCCCTTTCCATGTGTTCGGACTCAGCAACCTTTTCCGAGAAATGATGGCTTGTGCCGCGCCGCGGTGGAGAGTGCCAAGCCGGCATTTCTTCGCCCAAAAAGGCAGTGCCAGCCCTGCATTCACATGTAGAAGAGATGGTGGGCCAGTCATTGAGCATGTCGGTCTCTGCCAAAGTGCACGGCAGCGCCGACGTGTGGAGCTGTAACTACGGTCAGGGACAGTACATGTCATTTACGGCCCACTGGGTGAACGTGGTGCCGGCACAGCCGCACCAGCTTTAACTTGAAACAGGTCACGCCGCTTTTGCCTCACCACGTTTGCACGTCCTTGGTCCAGACAAAGATGTCCGCCTCTACCGACACTCTTTCTTCCGCCGTGGTCCTCAGCGCGCACCCCCGTGCACAAGTCCCATTACCCGACCGGCATATCACATGTGCAGGGCGCAACGGTGTCACGCTGTGCTGCAACCTGGTATGCCTTGGCGAATCCTGTAGTTCACACAGGGGAGGAACTTCTTGAGTGTAATGAACAGAGAAATCGACAGATGGCTGTCTCACGCGCAAACTGAAAAATCGGAACCATGTTTGACGCGACAAAACGGAAAGAACATGGTGTCTGCTCTGCGTCAAGGAAGGTTGTGCCATGCGCCATGCATGGACTCACGTGTTCAATCTGGTTGTCAAGCGGTCCTAAAAATCCACCATCCCACTGCAAGACATCCTTAAAATTGTCACGTAAACTTTGCATGCATTTCAGCCATTCCTACACCGCAAAGCACACCCTCCTTGAGCTGCAGCGGCAGATCGGAATTCCACAGCTATCGCCTGATCTGCGACGTTGCAACAAGGTGGAATTCACGAACCCTACATATGTTAGACCGCCTTTACGAACAGCGAAAGGCCATCAACACGATTTCCCTGATGTTACAAGCGGATTAAAGGTACTACCCTGTGTAACTTAGATGTCCCAGCCATTGGCAGCTCATGTCGTGACACTGCCGCTTGCGTCAGGCCCTTTGAGGAGGCCACGCTACGTTCGTGAGTCGGCAGGACTATGAAGGATGAACGCACGTCATCTCCTCTGTTGCACGTCCTGGTGGAACAAATGCTGGTAACAATGGCTGGTCAGGGTGCGGTAGACGTGGCGCACAGATCTCTCAACGCCACATGACCCCTGTGGGGGCAGGCAGGACAGGAAGAAGAGGAGGAGGTAGAGGAGGACATTGGTGCTCAGGAATTATTGAGTGAAATGGGTGGTTTTTCCACTCAGCGGACAGGAGTGGAGGAGCAGAGCATCTGGTAGAGGAGGAGGAGACAGAGGACCCAGACGCACCATGGCAGTATGCTGTGGAGATGGAGGCAGGGAGTCCCTCGACCATCCTTCCTTGGCACAAATGGACCATAGCAACTGCTCGGTTGCTTGCGTAGCGACAAGCCGACTAATAACCATCAGACAGAGGGATGACTTTTTTGGCTGTCCACCTTGTTGGGGCGGACCCTCGCTACCGTTTCAAAAAATGGTGGCCTTTTTCACACTCCTGCTGAGAGGGAGGCCAAAATAAACGTACTATAAAAACCACCTATGTAGTCAGTTGGTCTCTGCCTTTCTGCGCCCAACGTCCATCCTCAGACACTGTGGGCCCTGTGCGCTCGCGTTCCGCTGCCATGGGCAGCAGGGAGGGGTGGGGTGGTAGGAGCAGTGGCAGCTCCACCAGCAGCGGCTGCCTCTAGTCTGCAGTCGATGATGAGGTAGCTTTCTTCACCAGCGCAGTGAGGGAAATACTAACCAGCCGCAGCAGCATATCATGTGGACCTGGAGCAGGACCTCAAACAACAGGCTAGGGCCTACTTGGACAGCACCGTGCCAACCGAGGTAGACAATCCACCTTGACTACATGGGCAACGAAACTTGACACCTTTCGGCCCCAACTAGCTGTAATTTGCCCTTGAAAGGCTGTCATGCCCGGCCAGTAGCGTGGCATCGGAGCGCGTGTTTAGTGCGGCAGGAGGTATTGTAACTCCCGCGGAGGACACGACTGTCCACCCAAAGTGTGGTGAGACTGAACGTTTGTGAAAATGAATCAGGCGTGGATTCAGTCATGGATTTCAAATCCCACCAGTTCCCTGACACAACTGACTAAATCCGCCATGTATCAATAGCCCAAACATGTTATTTATTTTTAAACATAGGCCTCTGTATGTGCCTTCAATTTAAGCTGCTTACGCTTCGCCACTCTTGCCATGGGCCCCTGTTACCGCCTCCTCTTGCTGCTGCCAGGTCCAGAGTGTGTCGTGGGTCCCTGCACGGCCTCCCATTTGCTGGTCTCACTCACACTGATGGTGAGGTTCCCATTTTGTCATAGGGTGCTGGGCAGATTACGGGCCTCCCATTGCTGCTGCCAGGCCCGTAATCTGCCATGGGACCCCCGTACAGACCTCCTCATTCTGCTGCCAGGCCCGTAATCTGTACATTGGGCCCCTGTACCGCCTCCTCATGCTGCTGCCAGGTCCAGAGTGTGTCGATGGTCCCTGTACGGCCTCCCATTGCTGTCTCCATCGCCACACTCTGCCATGTGCCAACTTTCAGGTCTCCTCACACTGCTGGTGGGTTCCATTTTGTCATAGGGTGGCTGGCAGATTTACGGGCCTCCCATTGCTGCTGCCAGGGCCCGTAATCTAGCCATGGGCCCCCGTACCGACTCCTCATGCTGCTGCCAGGCCGTAATCTGTCATGAGGCCCTGTACCGCCTCCTCATGCTGCTGCCAGGTCCAGAGTGTGTCATGGGATCCCTGTACGACCTCCCATTGCTGCTGTCTCCATCGCCACACTCTGCCATGTGCCACTTTCAGGTCTCCTCACACTGCTGGTGGGTTCCATTTTGTCATAGGGTGTGGCAGATTACGGGCCTCCCATTGCTGCTGCCAGGCCTCATTAATCTGCCATGGACCCCCCGTAGCCGACTCCTCATGCTGCTGCCAGGCCCGTAATCTGTCCATGGGCCCCTGTACCGCCTCCTCATGCTGCTGCCAGGTCCAGAGTGTGTCATGGGTCCCTGTACGACCTCCCATTGCTGCTGTCTCCCATTGCCACACTCTGCCATGTGCCACTTTCAGGTCTCCTCACACTGCTGGTGGGTTCCATTTTGTCATAGGGTGCTGGCAGAATTTACGGGCCGTAATCTACTCCATTGCTGCTGCCAGGCCATAATCTGCCATGGACCCCCGTACCGACTCCTCATGCTGCTGCCAGGCCCGTAAATCTGTCATGGGCCCCTGCCTATGTACCAGGCTCCTCCTCATGCATGCTGCCAGGTCCAGAGTGTGCTGCTGCCAGGGCCCAATGTGGTCCCTGTACGGCCTGCTGCCAGGTCCATTGCTGTCCTGTCTCCATCGCCACACTCTGCCATGTGGCCACTTTCAGGTCTCCTCACACTGCTGGTGGGTTCCATTTTGTCATAGGGTGCTGTATGGCCTCCCCATTGCTGCTGCCAGGGACCGTAATCATGCCATGGGCCCCCGTACCGACTCCTCATGCTGCTGCCAGGCCCTTAATCTGTCATGGGCCCCTTTACCGCCTCCTCATGCTGCTGCCAGGTCCAGATGTGTGTCATGGGTCCCTGTGACGGACCTCCATTGCTGCTGTCTCCATAGCCACACTCTGCCATGTGCCACTTTTTCAGGTCTCCTCACACTGCTGGTGGGTTCCTTTTTTTTCATAGGGTGCTGTATGGGCCTCCCATTGCTGCTGCCTCCACCGCCACACTGTGGCTCCAACACTCTGGTTTTGGCCCCGTGACTGCCCAAATGAGTGAAGTGTGCGGTGATTCTAAGATCGACGGCACTCATCTGCATGTCATACTGACTGACAGTATTATTTCTCTTCCCCAGCAGACTCCAAGGGCATTCTGAAGCCTAGAAACACCCTATTTATAAGTTAAATTCGCAGCGAATATATTCGACTCGAATCAAATTTATTCCACGAATTCGCCGAATCAGCCGAATCGAATTTTTGAATAATTCGCTCATCTCTAATAGTCATAGTAGCTTGCCATTACAGATGGACATCATCTTCCTCTTCATTCTTCCAAACATGGTTTGTTCCTACCTGTCCCGACAAATAACGAAGAATCTTGAAATTGTATTATTGAGCAACTACTCATCTTCACCAGTATAATGAATGTTGCACTTACAGTAACAGGAAAGCCACCACACTTCAAGCCTTACACATCGTGAACCCAGGCTCGGTCCCCAGGCAGGCCCTGTACTGTAGCAGGCTCCAATATGGAGGCCCAACCAAAAAGTGAGGAACATGAAGTGCAATGCTGTTCCCTCACCACCAGGACCCTAGTCATCTGCCACTATCATGGCTCCCTCTGCCGAATGTCTCTTTCTCATGATTTCCTTTTCCCAAATAAACACATGAGCAACCAGTTGACCATATGGCACCTCTTACTGCCCATCACACCTTTCTCCAAACCCGGAGGGTCAAGTACCTTCTCCTCCCCACAGGGGCGGACTGACAACTCATGGGTCCCCCCGGGCAATAGGGGATCATGGGGCCCCTGTGTCCTTGCCAAACTCAAAAAATCCTATGAAAAAGGTACCAGGGGCATCTCATGGGGCCCCCTACTGACCCCGGGCCCTCGGGCAGTGCCCGAGTTTCCAAATGGTCAGTCCACCCCTGGTATATACCGTAAGAAACTGGAAGTAACACACATACAGGGGAAACCATGTGTAGCTGTCGTTTGGGGTTGTCAAGAAATCCGATGCATTATTTATGCCCCTTGAAAGTCTGAAGATGCTCCTTGGATTTTCGTCCACTTTATGCATTTAGGCTGTGATAAAGTCTCCCACATGTGGTATTCCTATACTCAGGAGGAGCAGAAGAATGTGTTTTTGGGTGTAATTGTAAGCATGCATTTGCTGTGTGTGAGAAATAACTTGTTCAAATGACAATTTTAATGACTTTATGAAATTAAATCAAATTTATTTTTACTTTCTTCATTTTCTAAATAATCGTGGCAAAAAGTTACAACTTCAACAAAACTCATCATGCCTCTTACTAAACAACTTGGATCGTCTACTTTCCAAAAAGGGGAAATTTTGGGAGTATTATTACTGTTCCAGCATTTTAAGGCCCTGCTGGCCAGAGGAGGATGGTGCAGCATGACATCAGTATCTCAAGAAGAGGAAGAGAAGGAAAAAAGGGCAATCTCCATCTCCATATTGCTGTAGCCCAACAGCTGGCTACACCACCAGCTTTATCTGTCTCTAAACACAGATATAAAATGCATTTGGGTTCAGTTTTGCACAAGTAATTGTTAGTCGAAGTATCACAGTGCTGAAAACTGAAAAAAATGGTTTGTACAGGAAAGGGGTATAACCTCTTGCCACTCACGTAACATATATGTACAACAGCAAAGAGGGTGGGTATTAATGCCCACACATCACACATATGCACCCATGAGTGACAGCTTTTCCTACTGAGAGCACGCTTCCAACACAGTGACCAATTTCCAGGACAGATCTCGGTCTCCACTAAGGATCAGGAGCCGGCAGGACTGGCTCCCAGGTCATGTGATCAGCTTGTGGTCATGTGATAAGCCCGCTGTTCATGCCTCCTGGGTGTAAAGACCTTGTCAATGGCATGCTGAGGCTGGGTGGGAAGAGGTTAACATGTCTGTCCTCAGTTCGTTAATAAAGCAGCAGTGTGGCCGTGGTAAGGTTGTACTATTGCTTTATAAATTGCCCCCTAAGTTGGTGCTGATTTCCTGGACAAGACAGCAGCACAGACAGTGTTGTGGCAGTATAGGATAATGTTACCTGTGGTTATTTTTGAAGGGTTACTCCACCCAAAACTTTATTCAGCCACTTAAGCGCTGGCAGATTTGACCCCCTTCATGACCAGGCCATTTCATGCAATTCAGCTTTGCGTTACTTTAACTGGCAATTGTGAAGTCATGCAACGCTGTACCCAAATAAAATTTATATAATTTTTTTCACACAAATAGAGCTTTTTTTTGTGGAATTTGATCACCGCTGAGTTTTTATTTTTTATTCTATAAAAGAAAATTTTGAAAAAAAAATATTTTATCCATAAAAATATAAAAAAAAATCTTTCTTCATAAATTTACGCCAAAAAATGTACTCTGTTGCATGTCTTTGGTAAAAAAAAAATATTTCAATAAGTGTATATACAAACTATGGGATATATACTGGAATTTTTATTTATTTATTTATTTATTTATTTTTATACTAGTAATGGTGGTGATCAGAGACGTATAATGCGAGTGCGACCACTAACTAATGCTTTGTGGGAACTGACTGACACTGACATCTCCAGCAACACTAATACAGTGATCAGTGTTAACATTATACACTGTCACTGTACAGATGAAACCAGCTGGGAAGGGGTTAATATTGCAGGGAGAAAAAAAACAGACACATCACTGCTGTCTGTACAGAGGTCTGTGTTGTTTGTCAACACAGAGCTTTTTCTGTCATTCGCTCAGCCCAGTAGCAGGTGCCAGCCATAAATCATTTGTCAGGACCTGCTGATTGGCTTGTGCTGTAGCAAATGACAGCACAGATGGGGCGACAGGTGTGCATGTCCCCTACCTGGAAAATGCAAGATCACATACATGTACTTGATCTCGCACAGAAGAAACTTGGCCCGCAATATATCTCTATGGGCCAGTCGGCAACTGGTTAAAAGATTGAGCAGTTATACTACCTAATTGTCTCTTATATGTTGTGGTGAAAGGTCTGAAATTGAGATCCCAGATCTTAACATCCAATGCAGGCATGAATAGAAGGTTCAGCTCTCCTAGATCTGCGATTCATTTTATTGGATGGTGCAAGCAGCAGAATTAGTGGGAACAGAGCAAGAAACTATTGTAAGGTAATAACACTACGGGAGAGGGAGACATAAGAAGTCAGAGGGTGACTAAGTCCAGTAGACTCCACTTGTGACTAAAATATCACTTTTGGGTGGACTGACCCTTTAACTGTACAGGAGGCACAAAAGATATGGTGGTGGTACACAATTTAAAGGAGTACGGGAAACACTGAATTATAAAAATGCCAGTCACCACAGATGTAAAGTGGAACTACACTGCATCTGAGCACCACAAACCAAAAACCAATTTAATTTATTTTTAATATTCAAAGCAAACTCCCCCATTCAAGTCTCCATGATTTATTTTGCTGAGAAATCACTTTGAAAACACTGAAACCTGAAAAAAAAAAGACTACCAGCCTCCAACCTACCCTCATAGCCGGTCCAACACATGCCTGAAAAAAGTACAGGCTTCCAACTTCAGAGCAAGTTCAACGCATGCCTGAAAAAAGTATTGACCTCCAACTTACCCTCATATCCAGTCAAACACACACCTGAAAAAAAGACTACCGGCCTCCAATCTCCCCTCATAGCTGGACCAACACGTCTGAAATAATTACCAGCCTCCAACCTCCCCTCATAGCAAGTTCAACGCACGCCTGTAC